AATTTCTAGGGTTTAATTTTTCTTTTTACTTTAGTTTATCTAATTGTGCATCACCAACATAATCATAATCTTTTAATTATGGAAGGCACATAATTTGCTAATATCTTTTAGGGGTAGCCAGAGCATGTTAACATTATTTTCAGCATTTCACTAATTACATCTGCTGCTTTGTTTTTATAAATGAAATGCTATGAATTTCCACATCAAAACTAATATTGAAATTTAATCACCTTTGTGAAATATTATATAGGTAGTGTCGGGGGAAACTTTAGGAGGTAATTAGGTCATGAATGGATTGATCCAATCATGGATCAATGGCCTTATGGTTCATGAGGAGAGTGGGTCTCTTTAAAAAGCCAACTTGGCTCAGTCTTTGCATGCACCTCTATCTTCTCTGCTCCACCCCAGGACTCTATAATGTCCCCATCACCAAGAGCCTTAACTAGCTGGGGTCTTCTTTATCTTGCACTTCCAGAACCCTGGGCTGAACAAACCTTTAGTTATTACAAATTTCCATTCTGTAATATTCAATAGTAGTAAAAGAAAACAGAGTAAGACAGGAATTACCAACTCTGCTTCCAGAGAAAAATTAAGTCTATTGATATTTTTGCTAGAACCATATTGAAATTATACATTTGAGGTAAATGACATTAAGATACTTTTATCCTTTTATATACAAGAACATTTTACATTTTTTCATTTTGTTGAATTTTCTATATGTGATGAATGAAAAAGAAAGTACCCTTAGAAGAATTTCAGCACTAATTCTACATAAAGAGTAGAGCTTTAATCCCACAACATCAAATCCTTGAATTTAAACACTATTTAAGAATATGATCAACTGGATGTCTCCCTATGATTGAGTCTTTATAGAATTAATTTTATGGCTTGTGTCTAGATGCCCCACCCACCCAAAGCCTCATGCAGTCATAGGTGGGGTTTTTTTCAGTGGTGGCTGGATCTAGAGTGTGTGACACTAGGATTGATTCATGGTGCAATGCCAGGATCAAGGGCACTAGGATTAAGGGTGTGAGTGTTATCTGCCCTAAGTAGCCTGGATAAAATGTAAGGGGTGGGAAGTGCTGTGGTTAACTCTTGTTGCTTTGCTACCTTCTGTCCACTGTGAACTGTTTCTCCTTTGCATTTTGACCCTGCTTTGGAGCCAGTCAATTATGGACTGAAACCTTTAAAAACTGTGAGCTGAATAAACCTTTCCCCCTTTAACTTTTCCCCTTTTAACTTTTTTCCCCCTTTGAGAAAAGTAACTAAGACAATTAATATGCAAATCAGAACTGGTAGTTTTTTTTTAAACTTTCTGCCTTAATTAGAATATGGCATATGGTGAAGCTGCATACATAAATACTGAATGAAATTACTGAAGGGAAAGCAATTTAGTCCTTTATTGAAAGAAAAGATCAAAAAATGTAATATTTAATGCTATTAAATATATTAATGTTATTAATATTTATTAACAAATGTATAATATATAGATACAAGTGTAACACACCTATATAAATGTAGCACACACCAAAAATGTCTGAATTTCAATACCACAATATGTCAGTGGTGCTTAGAGTGGGACATGATTTTTTTCTTTTTGATTATCTGTAGTTTCTGAGGTTTATTATATGTACATATAGATAGAACTTTTGAAGTGTTATGATTATGTTTAGATAGGAAAAGTCTGATGAACCATCACACACACACATAAACAAACATGCTTATATAGTGCATCCATAGTTCTAGTGAGACACTTAAAATTGTATGAACACTCACTATCTGCCTTTTTTGGCACTCTAAGCTCCTTAACATCAGGAACAGGATCCTTTTGGATACTCAATCTTTAAAATAAGGAAAAAGGTTGAAGTTCATGTGTATGTATATTATCACTTAATAAACAACCCTGTAATTATTATTAGCCCTGCTTTATAGAAGAGAAATTGAAGCTTAGAGATATTAAGTTACCCAGTTAAGCGATAGAGCCCAAATTCAAGGCTACCTGTGTCTATCCTCCAACCGATGATAGTACTAAATGTTGAGATCTGTTAGATGAAAGAAAGATAAGTGGGAAAAAAACCATGTAAACCTGAGAAATGTTTAAAGTTAAAATATAACGCCAATAAATACAATATAAAATCAAATATGTATTAGTTAATTAAAATATGTACATAAAATATGTACAACATGAACAAAAATGTCTCTTGCAGATATATTCAGGTGGCATCTGAATTACTATCAATTAAGAAAGTTTTAGAAGATATTCCTATGTTGGGAGATGCTTTTAAGGTGATATCAGGGCCTACCCGACTTGATTCTCATATAATATTTTATTAGGACCAGTGTTCTGATGAAGGGCCCAGTTGATGTTTTAGGAACAGAATCTTGTTTCTTTCTTTTGACATTATCTTTCATTTGGCAGCAATGCATCCCAGGGTTATATGAATAAAATAGCAATCAGATGAGATTTAGCAATGGTAGAAGAATAAATCACAAGAGAGAGGCCCTTTACTTCAATGCATTAACAAAATTCATGGATGTAAATGCAGTCCCACAGATTTTGAGGAGTGTTTCTTACTAATTAAAAGTTATGCCATTAGTTATACTTCTGGGGCAGTGTGCAGGACTATTATGATATTTTAATTAAAGAAGATAATCCCATAGGTAAATGCTAGGGGTGTACTAAGAAAGTAGGACAGGCTCAGGTTTTTATGGTACAGATGGAGTAAGTTTGATAATACCTGTTATCAAGCAACTGTGGAATGTAGGTATGAATTACAGAGCTCTTACAATCATGGAATTGAAAGGTACTTATTGTCTAAGTAGATGGCTCTAATTTTCATTCTTACTTTGCCACTCTTACTTTGACCTGATGAATACAGATTGACATGAAAAATAGAAAATCAGGGATGTATATTCTTTGAATGTTTCTTGGGACATGACTAAACAAAACTGCCCCATGTAGAGAATGGAATTTGATTTTCCTTTCTTGGATCATATATATATACATACTACTACTGGAAATACCAAATTGGCATCCAGTGAGCAAATATAGCACTTCATAATGACTGTTATTTAAATTTTAAATTACTTGATGTAAATGACCACATGTTCCATCTGGAATGAAATTTGTGGGGCTTTGTAATAATACTAGCTGGTATGGTATCAGGTAAGTTTGGGGCTTTCCTGAGTAGAAATCATTTTACAGGTGTTGACTTAGATTAACACAACTGGCATTTACATGGCACCCACTATGTGCTAGTCATCATCACTGTGGGAGAGCAGGTCCTAACCCCAAGGACCAGGTGCTGTGAGGGGCAGTGGTTATTAAGAGCCACAGTGGATATTAGGATTACAGACTGCTCCACAGACATTATATCAGAATCTGAGGCCACCATCTGAGTATCACATAAGAGGACACTGAATGTATATTTGTCAGTATTAAAGGCCAAATGTTGCATGTTATATAGTAAGTCATCGACTTACAAACAAATTTCATTCCAGGAGAATTGTTTGTCAGATTTGTTCATAAGCCAACAAAGTGAGTCACACAAAGTACACCTGTGAAAGTTCATAACTTGAATGTTCATAAGTTGGGGACTTACTGTGTTAATATTGGGACTAACGTGTAAATATTAAGTTAATGTTACAGACCATACTGTGGGTATTAAATTATCACTAAAGGCAACAGTGTGGATATTATATTAGTTAAGATGCCACTGCGAGCCTGGTGTGGAGGGACATGCCTGTAATCCCAGTATTTTGGACACTGAGGGGAGAAGGATAGTAAATTCGAGGGAAGCTTGGACCACATGATGAGAACCTGGCTCAAAAAAAAACACTGTGTGGATATCATATTAGCCTTGGTATATGATAGGCCACTGTTGGGAGCAATGCTACATAATTCTAGGAAAAATCATTTGAGTAGGCCTAGTTCTCCTGCCTACAGCCCAGCTAGGACATTCCAGACATAATTGCATTTTGGCCTCTGGTCACAACTGAGACCTGAGTGACCCCCCTCCCCCCCCATGCTGCAATCTCCAGGACAAGACCACACCTATGGGAGACGCCAGGGAGGAACCAGATCTTCATCTGCATAATTCCCCATTGTTCTTAGATTTCCACTGCCCCCCAGGTTTTTGTTACACCTTGTTTATCCGAATGTGAAGTACTGAACTCTTTTTTTCACTTGTTACATCTCTTTCTCCCGATGTACTGAATAAAAGGTGCTGCAAGCTAGGGGGATTTTGTCTTTGCTGCCCAGAGCAGCACCGATCAGACCCAAAGCTCAGCTTCTTCTCGGTCTCATTTGTCCACCTTTCCTGTAATTCGCCGTGTGCTGCTGTGGCTCACAGGAGACCAGGACTTACTGCAGAGGTTCTGGTAACGTCCCCTTCCCCTGTTCCCTACAGGCCACAATATGATATAGGTAGTGAGGGGTCACAGTGAGGATACAATTATAGTATTAGGAACTGGTATTTAATAATATATTCATATCAAGAGGTCACTCTGCAGATATTTTATTAGGCTCAGGACTCCACAGTATGGTATCATGTTGGTAAACAGGGGCCACATTGTGGATATTAAATTACCCTTAGGGGCCACTGTGTAGATGCTACAGTTGAGATAGAAGCTATTCTATGGATATTAAACTCAGAAGCCACTCTGTGAATATTAAATCAGTATTAGAGGCCACTGTGTGGAGATTAATATGAGGGGTCCACTGTTACATATCATAGGCCCCTCTCTTGGTTTGACACTACTATCAGAGGCCACTGTGTGAATTGTACTTTAGTACTCCAAGGCCCAGTGGGGGAGAGCACATCACTAACTACAAGCCACAGTATGGAAATTTTCTCAGGGGACCTGCGCCTTGGGTGTCCAGTGGAAACAGTGCTCACTGTGAATAACACCCACTGAATGAAGCCCTTCCTCTCCTGAGTTCTCTAGAGACCCACCATCCAACCCACACTCAGCCTGCAGACAGGAAGCTTTGTACTCACCATTGCACAGCCCACACAGGCACCTTCTGGTGATCAGTCCTGAGAATGAGGTGTTGGGCACTGTCCTCCATGGACTCTGGCCTCTGGCACTCTCTCTATGGCTGCATCAGGTCAGGATAGGTGGGAGCACACGCCCTCTAGTGACCTTCAGGACTCAGCACAGGAGACTAGCTGACTCCCAGTTTGTTTGCCTTTGAATCGGAAAATCCCATTTCAAGAGAAAAGCAGTAATATACTTACACAGTTCTCCCACAGGGGTTTAAAGACAGTCCTCACTTTTTGGATCAGGAACTGAAAAAAAAAAAAAAAAAAGACTTGAAAAACCTAAGGTTTAAGCAGGGAACCATCCCACAGTATGTAGATGATATACTAATTTACATCCCGTTAAGACTCTAGCCTTATTTCCAGTTCTGGAGGAACCATTAAAACCAGTCTATACTCCCCAACAAAATAAATGAGGCTCAGGAATAAGGGGGAATTAAAAAGGGACTCTGGTGGTACTTAGAAAACAAAATGGTCAAGTTAACAGAAATATTATACGCAGTCAGATAGGGCTGGACCCCAAACAAAGTCAGTGCAAACGATGAAAATATATTACAATCATGGCTGGAGATACATCTGTTGGAGACCAGGCCTCAACATAAAGATGAAATAACCAGGCCTGCATACTTCCCCAAAGGACAAGATAAGCAGTAACACTTGGCCTAATGAAGTCTAGATAGACATGTTAGCCCAGTGGGTGACCAAGACCTCTGGACCATTATTTCCTAGAAAAAGTCTTTTTTCTTTCCATGTGCACTTGTTATGTGACTTACTCCCTGATGGGATCATTATTACCTAAGTGACTATACTTGTAACCTTATTGGTTGTTCATAGCTTTAACCCACGTTGTACCCACATGGTTTTTGCTCTATAAAACTTTCCCTGAAAAGTGGGGTCTCTGGCTACCCATTTGGGACCACTCTTGCCTCTCAGGAGCTATCCTCTCAATAAATATTTCCAACTCTTAACCTCTGTTGTCCCTAGAATTCACTCTTCAATTTTAGAGAACACAAACTCAGTGTATCTGACATTTAATATCAGGAGTTATAATATTTCCCTTATATCATATTTGGATGTCCTGATATCATTTCCTATATCAAGGGGATACAGTGGAAGACTATAAAAATAATGCATGATTCCTTCCATATAAGAAGAGATGCTGCATTAAAAATGCTCCCTCAGGGCTGGGGATTTAGCTCAGTGGTTTCGCCACCTGCTGCACAAGCGCAAGGACCTGAGTGAGATCTCTGGTACCAAATAAATAAATTAATTAATTAATTAATTAATTAAATTAAATAGAGTAAAAATGGTCCCTCAAGTTTTCATAGGAGTACGACTAGCAGCAACCTCCTGACAGGTTGACAAAACTTGCCCACTCTGTGCCTAAAGTAACCCAGGCCAGCCCAAACCACCTCCTTTATTAGAATCTGTACAGAGGAGACAGACATACCCTGGAGAGGACTGACAATTGAACTTTACCCATATGTCACCATGTGAAGGATTTAAACAGATGGTGGTCCTAATTGACACCCTTACAGCCTGGATTGAAGCCTATCCCACCTGTTCTAAAATGGCTACAGAAGTAGTCAAGATGTTTCTTATAGAAGTCAGCCAAGCATTGTGGTGCATGCCTGTAATCCCAGCACTCAGGAGGCTGAAGCAAGGGGATCACCATGAGTTCAAAGCCAACCTGAACTGCATACCAAGACCCTGTCACACACAAAATAAATTATCCCTAGATTTAGATGACCCCAGTCCCTGCTCAGTGACAATGGATCTTCTTTTATCTCCAAAAAAACTCAGGGGATAGCAAGGGCTTTAGAAATAAAGTACCACCTCCATTCCTCCTGGCAGCCCCAAACTTCTGGAAAGGTAGAGAGAGCCAACCAGACCCTAAAGGGAGCTCTGACAAAACTTTGCCAAGAGATGTCTGAGTCCTGACTCCAATTGCTGCCAATAGCACTCACAAGGGTTCATAACATGCACCAAACTGGTCTGGTTTTGAGCCCATTTGAGATGTAACATGGGAGGCCATTTATATTCTCTGATATGATAGTAGACCCAGAGACCAGGAGGCTCTTACAATATCTCACTAATCTGAGCCAAGTACAACAGGCTATTCAAATGTATGGGAACAGAGTCCTGCCAGCCCCTGGCCCAGGAGTACCACCTACTATCTGTACTGGAAACCAAGTGCTCATAAAAACTTGGGGAGAGGGGACACCCACTGACCAATTAATGCCCAAATGGAAAGGCCTCCTCACAGTAAACCTTGCCACACCCCTGTTGTGCCCAGATTGTGAAGTCCCAAAGACCACCAGGAGGCCGTTTCCGATGTAAGCACACGAGGGTCGTTTATTCAAGCTTAAGCAGGGACTCTCAATTGTCACCGACACAGCGGATCGAGATTGAGAGCTCTGAGTCCCAAACTAGCAGGGTTTTTATTGAGAATACAACAAGCTTTGGTTATTAGTAGCCAGGTGATTGGTTAATACTTAATACATATGAAGTGTAGGGTTTTGGTTGGCTAGGCTTTGGGGGTCGAAGGGGATTACGTATTGGTTTTTGTAAGGGAGAAAGGGGCAAAGATTAACGGCCGATTGTCACATACTGATCGTTAGCAGACCCACTGACTAATGGCCGCATCTATCTTGTGTGGATAGTTAGCTCATTAACTGCTTATCTTATAGATAGTGTGCCTGGAACGCTCTTTCCCCGGGTACACAGGTGGTTGGGTAATAAACTCAGGAATTTCAAGTGGTGAATTTCTAGTTTAAGCACAAATTTGAGAGAACAAAGGAGACGGCTCCAAAATGGAGTCATTTTGGTCCCACACCCCCACAGATATAGATAATTGGATTCATCTTTCCAGAATACAGGGAATCCCATCTGCAGTAAAGGTGGCACTGCAGTAAAGGTGACATGACCTGTTAATTAAAAGATCCTGGAATGCATGTACAGAACAGTTCCCAAAGCCCTGCACATGGTCTTCTCATGAGAACTCAAGCAGGTTTTCAATAGGATGGCCTGGACCTGACCTCAGCCTGAGGCGTGGGATCCCAGCACCACTTCTTGGACCTGTAATGTAAAAGTTCTCATGGGTTTCCTTGAGATTTGGACAATATAAAAGGACACGGACACCAAGAGATTGCTAATGTGGCTTTCCTCACAATAGCCCACTCTGCTTTCTCCAGGGTGTTCTTTTATCTTGTTTTTTCTCTTTTACTTGGCCCAAGCTTGCCTTGCAGAGCCAGTTTCCCCCTCACTCTTCACTTTTACTTTCTCAAATAAACTTGGCCACAGCTATTTTGTTCATTTTTTTCAATTCTTTGCTTAAGACTAGAAGAACCTAGAATCTAACTCCAGAAGGGGAGGCAAACAACCCAGAATCCATTAACATTTATGTGGCAAGCTACTTTTAGAAGGAGCTACCCAATAATGCTAGAATCTGACCACACTTCCCTTCCCAGCCAGTCGAAGCTATGCCTATCTGTGTTGGGAGCAATGCTACATAATTTTAGGGAAAAATCATTTGATTAGGCCTAGTTCTCCTGCCTACAGGCCAGCTATGGCATTTTGAGACATAATTCCATTTTGGCCTCCAGTCACAACTGAGACCTCAATGATCCAGCATGCGGTGATGCTCTAGGGCAAGATTACACCAGCTGAAGACATCCTGAGAGGAACAAAATCTTCATCTAGTCAGTTCCTCATTGTTCTTGGATTGTTACACTTTGTTTATCCTGATGTACTGAATAAAAGGTGAGGTAAGCTGGGGGCTTTCCTCTTTGTTGCCCAGAGCAGCACTGATCAGACCCAAAGCTCAGCTTCTTCTCCAAGTCTCATTTTTTCTACCTTTCCTATATAATAAGTTAATTTGCCTTGTGCTGCTGTGGCTCACAGGAGACTAGGACTTACTGCAGAGGTTCCAGTAACATCTCCTTTCCCTGTTCCCTACATATTTCCCTATCTCAACTTTATGAACAAAACCTCAATCACACAAGAAATAGTATCTTCCATATAAGAAGAGATGCTGCATTAAAAATGCTCCCACTGAACAGGAAAAAAATTTATCAGGTATTCCTCAGACAAAGGACTAATATCTAGAATATATAAAGAACTCAAAAAAATCAGACCCCCCAAATTTAAAGACACAATCCTAAAATGGCCATCTGAAATGAACAGACACTTCTCAGATGAAAAAGTACTAACAGAAAATAAATATATGAAAGATGTTCAACATCACTGGTCATTCAAGAAATGTAAATTAGGGTGGGCCTAGTGGTGCATGCCTATAATCCCAACACTCAGGAGGCTGAGGCAGGAGGATTGCTGTGTGTTTGAGATCAGCCTGGGCTACATAGTGAGTTCAAGGCCAGTCTGATCTATATAGTGAGACTCTGTCTCAAAAAACCAAAAAAAAAAAGGAAAGAAAGAAAATAAAGAAATGTAAATTAAAACAGTACTGATATTCCATCTCACTCAAAAAAGAATGGCTACCATCAAAAAAATCAACCAATAACAAATCCTGGCAAGGCTGCTGGGGGGAAAGGAACCCTTCTCCATTGTTGCTAGAAGTGTAAATTGGCACAATCGCTATAGAAATCAGTATGAAGATTCTCCAAAAACCTAAAATTAGAGGTTCCGTTTGACCTAGCTGTTCCCTTTCTAGATATCTTTCTAAAAAAGTTAAAAGCATCATACTACAGTGATATGTACATATTCATGTTTATAGCAGCACAATTTGTAATAGCTAAATCTTGGAAACAGCCTAGATAGCTATCAACAGATGAATAGACAAAGAAAATGTGGTATTTATATACATTGGAGTACTACTCTGCCATAAAAAATGATAAAATGGAGTCAATTTTAGATAAATGGATGCACCTTGAGAAAATTAATGTTAAGTGAAATAAATCAGACATACAAGTTTAAATATTGCACTGCTTCTCTTTTGTGAGAAACCCAAAGGAGCAAAGTGGAGGATAGATATTGGGAAGTAGGAAGAGCATGTTCAAATGGGAAGGGGAACAAGGAAGAGTGAAGAGAAGGAAAGGAAAGGGGATTTTTAAAAAGAGAGAATGGAAGGGAACATGGAAACAAAGCTTTTATAAATGAGGAGGGGAAGAAAAGTTGAAGGGAGGGTAACGGAATGGGGAAAAATGAATTTTAAAAATTAAAAAACATTTTAAAAAACAAAGTGATGCCAATGGGCCCATGCCTCCCTCCACTGCTTTATCCTGCTTCCA